TGTGTGTGTGTGTGTGTGTGAGGCAACCTGCAAGAATTGGAAATGTACAGTAATGCCGTTCAGATATTTTGACTTTTAGCAAATTTTTAAGTGAAGGATGATGTCCGATGCGCATCGCAATTATTTCGCTTCTTTTCTTTTAAAATAGTGCGCACTGAAGCCCAAACAAAAGGTGAATAGAAATGCATAGAATATCATAATATAGCTCCTTTTCCATTTTTGATGACGTGACTAAAATGAAGTTTGAAGAAGAACATGAAATGTGACTGACTTTTGTTGAAAACACGCGTTTTGGTCGAAAGATAATAGGTACAACAATTATAATAATAAACTAAACATAAACTTTTTAGACCTTATTTCAGTTAGTATCTGTAGGAAAACAGATTTTAGATGTTATGGCATCCCCTGGTATAACTAACTCAAACTTAACCCAGGTTGACTCAATCTCATGTTCTAGCTTCTAGCTCATAACTAAGTTTGCCGACACATTCTCCAATTCTTGAAGAGCGTTTCACATAAACACACCCCAGCTCAGATTCAAACCCAATCACCATGAAGGAAATACAAGCGTCTCGTCCGCTCTTGTTGCGTTATTTCTTGTATTTTTTTAATAACTTGTACTTGTATTGTGTATTATTACCCTGTCCATAACTTGTCTCCATGGGCATGAAAAAAGTACCGTATTATCCCCCCCCCCCCTATTGTCTCTTTGCTCAGATTCCCAGTGGGCCAGTCTGTTATAGAAAGGGAGATAACAAACATGGCCGTTAAAACAATCAGTATGCTTTTGGGGGTGCTTTTTATCATTTTGATTTTATATTTTAGTTTGAATTATTATAGAATTGGAGATAACAAATATTGGTAGTTAAAATGATTTTGCAGCGGTAGTTTTGGAGTTAGTTTGTTCAATTGCGTGTTACTATAAGAGTGAGCGAGAGGCATTTCTTTTTGCTCGGTTATTTTCCCACACACACACATCTTTCTATTTCCCACTTTAAAAAAAATAAAAATACACGGAGTGTGAAAAATACAATACGAACAATAAAAAAAGGAAGGGGGGGGGGGGGGGGGGGA